AGTAAAGGTCATATTCTGTCTTTATATCCTTCACCTTGTTTTATAATAGATGTATATTTAAGAACTAAAAAATATAAAGTATTTGTATTATTAGATTTGAGAGCCTTAGTTTGTTTTATAGATAAATTTTTTGTTAAGAAACAAGAAAAATCTTAGGTCATGAAAATTAAACCTGTACATATAGAAGTCATAGTTGGTCATAGTTGGTCATAATTGGTGAATTATTTTTGGAATTTTTCAATTAATATCAAATCTTCATCAAGAATTTTTTTCAAGTTGCAACTCTTCTTATATATTTGATATGTAAAAAAAAAATTGAGTAGAGTAAAGAAGCTTAAATATCTTTTGAAGTCTTAAAGATAATATTTATTTTTGTACTAATTTTATATTGCATTGATTTTTTTAAGGTATTTTTTTTATGGAAATAGATGCATCAAACTTTGCTATAAATGTTGTTTTATCACAAATGGAATAAAATAATAAGTTCTATTTAATAGCTTTTTATTCCAAGAAATTTTTAGCAATTGAGATTAATTAGAAGATCTACAATAAAGAGCTTTTTATAATTTTGAATTCATTTCAAGAATGGCAATACTATCTAGAAGACACTTCTAATCCAGTTAGTGTATATACATATTATAAGAACCTCGAGTATTTTATATTGATATGTAGTTTGAATCATTGCCAAGCCCATTGGAACATGTCTTTATCAAGATTTGATTTTAAAATCACCTATAGATCCAAAAAATAATAAGATTTATTAAATGTCTTTTTTAGACATTCTTATTTTGTACCAAAAGAAAGAGATGCAACTTTTCATTAACAAAGAATGATTTTCAACTTTGAGCAATAAAATCAAACATTGATTGTTGATTCAACTTTTATCAAGAAAATTGAATCAAGTATGTCTTCTGATCCTCTTATTCATGATATTAAGAATAATTACTCTAAGTCTCATGATACTTCCAAGTTTGCATTCAAAAATAATCTACTCTATTTTAAAAAATAATTATACATTCTAAAATACAAAGTACAACTATGTGTTCTTCAAGCTTGTCATGACTTTCTAATAGCATGACATTTTAGATACAACAAGACTTTAGAGCTAATATCTACAGATTTTTGGTGGCCTCAAATGTGAAAGGAAATTAAAGACTTTATACAATCATGTAATATTTATTCAAGATCCAAAACTCCTCTTCATCAACCTTATGGATTTTTTCAGTCATTACCTATTCCAAATAATCAATGTCTTTTGTTTCTATAGATTTTATCATGGATCCTTCAATCTTAAGTTTGTATGATTCTATGTTTTTAATAGTAGATCATTTTACCAAGATGGCATATTTTGTATCATGTATAAAATCTATCACATGTGAAGAAATAGTTAATTTTTTTTTGACAATATCTATTGCTATCATAGATTATCTAAAGATATTATATTTATCATCGAATAGGAAGACTCTATTTATATTAAGATTTTGGAGAACCCCTTTGAAGATTTTAAACGTGGATAAAGAGCTTTGATTCGCTTTTCATCCTCAAATTGATGGACAAATAGAATAGGTGAATTAAATTCTTGAGTAATATTTGAGGTGTATCATCAATTATCATCAAGATGATTGAATATCTCTTTTACAAAAGACCGAAAAAAAAATTAAATTGAAAATTTTTAATAAAAAAACTAATAAGAATTTGATTAAACTAGATGAATCTGAAATTAATACTAAGAGAGGTGAAGTAGAACTCCAAGAGATGTATTGTCAAGACTAAAGATTTTGTTAGCCTTGATTCTAGGTATTAAGAAGCTTCTCAAGAAAATTTCCATGCTACTTGAAGACAAAACAATTCTATGAAGCTTTTTAAGAAATTTCTATATTGCTTGAAGACAAAGCAATGTTATGAAACTTCTTAAACAATTTCTTTAATCCTCCTAGAACTTATTAGAATCTACTAGAATATTTTAAAAATCTTTCTAGATTATTTTATTAAAATATTCTAAAAATATTTTAGAACCTTCTAGAATTTAATAGAATATTTTAAAAATATTTTAAAAATCTTTTTGTTAGATGTCCATAGTAGTTAATATTACAAGTCAAAAGTTTTTGTCATAAACAACAAAGGTAGCAAGACAAATTCAAATAAAAAAAGAATTGCTTCCAAAGTTTTTTTGCTTCTAGATGATTATGTCTTATACAACATAAATAACAATGTTACTACCTCAAATCTTAGAATAGGAAATACTTGCATTGTAGAAGAAGTTTTTAGAGATTTAAGATGTGTGAAGAAAAAGACCAAAGATACTTTAAATCTTATAGATAAAATTATATTAGAAATATAAGAAAATATCTATTTTTTCCAATTGATATTTTATAAAATTCTATTTATTTGAGTATAATATTTTAAATGTGTAATAATTAGAAATTTTAGTTTTTATAATATTTTTTATCTATATTTAATTTAAAGGTCTTTATAAGATTAGATTTTGTGATTTTAAAAAAAATCTAAAATCTCTTATCATATGGGCTTTATAGCTTATACAAATAGTGCAATAAATTCCATCTATGTTTTATTATTAATATTTTATATTTTTTATTTATTTAAAAATTGATTTTTATATTTCTTATCTTTCTTATCTTTCTTATGTTTATATGTTTATTAGTAAATATTTCATTTGTAATACAAACAAGCTTTCATATACACTTGAAAAGACTTTTTTTATTAGAATAAAAAAATAGCTGAAATATACCTTTGCAAAGAATTATTTTGTTCTAATTGAAACTATTTATAACATGCACAAGTTTCATGGTTTTTTTTATTATTTTCTTCTATCTAGCATTAGCATTAAAAAATCTTCTGTTGACTTTTCACAAAATTGTATTTAATAAGTATAAAATTATGTTGTTTTAGATAGAAACATTTGGAAAATAAAAATCTACTTTAAAAGGGTCTATTAAAAGATTCAAGATGTCACACAACTTACTAAGTCTTTTTCAATTCTAACTTTTACAATTAAAATTAATAAGAACTATCAAGATTACAAAATAAAAATAAATAAATAAAAATTTGATAGAAATTCACATACATTTCCATTTGTAATATTTAGTTTTACAGAATAATATTTGTATATGCCTTTAAAGTGTCTTCTTAAGTCCATAGCTTTGATTTATAGCATTTAAAATAAAGAAGCAGTAGCTAAAGATTGAGGTGCATTTTGAGCCTACTTTCAAAAGAATTCTTGCTTCATATAGGTTATCTAACCTTTTTTATGAAAATTTTATATTGCCATTATGCAATGAATAAGTGAAGTCGATTTTGATACCAATTGGAGCATTGTTATAGATAGTTTTTACATCTTTTTGGTCTAACACTCAATTAATAAAATTGAATTAAAAATTCTTATTTAGAAAAAATTATTTTATATATTTTCTTTTAGCAAACTACATTTTTGTATTATTTGTTTATACTTCAAATCTCTAAAAAAAAAAAAAAAACAAAAAAAAACAAACTTGATGTTGACTCTAAAATTATACAAATTCAAATTCATCAAGAGTTTTTTACTTTTATTTTTAAATTCATAATTATTTTTCATTTGTCTCATGGTAAATTTTTGTTTGTGTTGTAAGACTTTACATATTTGCTCTTAAACAAGTGGTTTGCCATGTGATATGACCAAGACATATGAGATTTTTAAGAGTATTTACAAACTTTTAATATATATATAATCCACTGCAAAAATTACATAATATCTTACTTATTATATTTATAAACATGAGAAACCAACAAAAATAGTGTTTCTAGTACTATTATCTATTACTGTTTTAATGCTTTCTTTATCTATGTGCTTATTTTCTATACATTATAAATGCACACACTATATACTAGAAAAAATCTATGAAAAAATAAAATGCTATTATTAATATTAAAAAAATATAATTATAATTTTTTATTTTATGATTTTTTAAATTTGATACTTTAAATTAGTTATACTACAAATATAAAACATCTTTTTCAATCATTTGTAGATTCTCCATTGTATCATGAGCTGATACTTAGGAATGTCTTTGATTTCCATTGTGTTTATATTCAACACAAAAAAACTCATTTGTTTCTATTTTATTTTTTTATTTTTTTCCATAAATAATTGACAAAAAAAAAGTAGCTCTAAAAACATGTTTTTCTTAATAAAGTCACTTAGTTGCACAATTTGATGGAACACATTATTATGTCCAATATTATGTCCAAATTTTGTTGCTAGTATAAATTCTTTATAATTTTCTAAGAGTTTGCTCCAAAAACTTATCTTTTTTGTAAAATAATTGTTTTATTTTGTTTCTAATGTTTTCTATTTTTCCTTGCAAGAAATCATCTACAAGAACCAATGTGTAATGAACATTGATGTCATCCTTGCTATCTAATAATTAAAGAAATTACATGCAAAATTCATAAATATATATTTAATTAAATGGCATTTATTATAAAGTTGTAACTTCTGTATTTACCTTAAAGTTGTCTTTACCAAGCCATGTTACAAATTCTCTAAGATTTATGGACTAACTGTGAAAAAAAGATTGAAACCTTGTTTATTGAGAGTTTTAATTCTTATTTTGGAAGGTTCAACAGCATATTATTTACCTCAGTGCACCACCTTAAAACCATTAGGCATGTGAGAGGCTCACCGTTAATGGCTACACAAGATTCCTAATTTTGTTCTGTTTGTCATCTTTACACAACAAAACAGTACATAATAAAATTCTTTCTTTGATTCTTCAGAAGGATCTGGACATACGCAATTATTTGCTAGTCTCATTTTTCAAATGTATTTTCACATTGTCAGGACTCTGCATCGGTTCTCCGAAATCATCTACAACGGTTTTTTTCTTAATACATGACTTGCTAGGGCCGATCCTCGAACTCACTGGGATAGCTGCAAATTCCTTTAAAAAAGCGTCCCTATGTAACCCAATTCAAAACCCATATTCTAATAATTATCTTTTGGAAAGTGAGAAATTTGACGGGTAATAAATTTGAGTACAAAAAGTACAAATAACTGGAGAGCTACGAACCACACGGGCTCAGAATTGTCTGTGTGAAGTACTTCCAATTCCACAATGTTAATAAATAGTATGATGAATGGTGCAACAGAGTTCAGCCTCTGGTGATCATCGTTCCCTCTCAAACCTTGAAAATTATGTCTATTGCCTTTGCAGCCTTTCGCTCACGAAGATGTCATCTGTAGTGATTTAAACTGAGCACCACTAGCCATGTGCTCTTCCTTCCAAAGATGGACTTCACCCAATGTATTCTAAGACTAATGTCCATACATGTCCTGCCGCAAATAAGCCTTGGTGGAAGGCCTGCATGCAACAAATCTACAGAATCATGCACCCCATGAGAGTCAGATTGCAAAGTAGATAGATCTGAGTAGTTTTATCTCGATGGAACAGTTTTGCACCAACGAGCAAATCTAGAAACGATCTTTTTTCCTTTTCCCCTTTGACCTCTTCTTCTTTTCTCCCCCCACGGTTATGAAGACAAAAAAAAACCACGCGAGAGATAAACCACGGGCTGAAGCTGCAACAAAATGACTGCTCTCGAGTGCGAATGGGTGCAGGAAAAGTTCAGGAAAAGGACTCAACAATTTCTTCATGTGAAGCCAATCACTAGGTCACCCCAACCACCAGATCAATTCTCGTCATCTGCACCAAACAGAGCTTTCTAAGTAGTCGTCGGTTATCTCTATTACCTTCGTCCAATAACAACAGAATTATTCCAATTTTTCATGTCAGCGTGCAACTCGAGCAATTTCAACCATGCAAGTGACGTACCACTGTTGGATCTTCCTAAACTCTGTCAACACGGGATAAATATTCTCAAAAGCCTCGTAAATCTCGTCCCTCACCTGCCCCGCCCACCATAAAACCAAAAACATTAACATGAATAAATAAAAGTTATTCTGAAAGCGTGAACGAAATACTCAGCAAACGAAATACAATTGTCAATTTCTTTAGACGCATAATCTGAACTCTGCAGCCTACAAAGCCGTACCTTGGCACCGGTAAGGACAATCTTTCCGGACACGAAGATCAGTAACACAATTTTTGGCTGCTTCATCCTGTATATCAATCCTGGGAACAATTCTGGCTCATACTGCAAACAGTAAACGACCAGTTCTTCGGTAAATCTCCAATAACTAGACAAGGGATTTGCTGCAGAAGTCATTTTCTCGCCTTAACTTTGCCCGGTATCACACGTTAACATAATTTGCATCGACCACCCAAGCAACCAGATATGGCCAGAGCAAGACAATTAAATATACCGGGTCAGGGATACTTATACAATGATCCCTCAGAACCTTGCAATACCAAACATTCAGTGGGTTTGGGCGCATAAATATCATCGTGTCGAAACATTTCACACAAGCGTTCATATTTCCCGTAGATCATGTAAGCAAGCCAGAGATGCTCACACTTGAAAAGTGACCGTGAGCGTAAGCTAAACCTTCGAGTCGGATAGGGAATTTGACGTCACATGAACCAACAATATTCTGAATTTTAAAATCCTGCAAAAAGAGAAATTCCTGTCAGTTTTTTTTTGAACATCCAAACCGTGGCAATAGCTAGGATAAGATGAACCTACTCCAAATGATCTACACGTGTTCAGTTTCCATTTCAAAATTAGGCCAAATGCGGAGCCCACTTAAAAAAACATAATTCGATCACCAAAACTTACCTTGAATTGGGCTGGAAAACCAAGCTTTTGAATGATTCGAGCATACTGCACCGATCATATTTGGAAAAAAAACATTAGATAGGATGATTCCAACGTGATTCCTAGTCATCTCGCGAAGTAACCTTCACAAGTTACATGTACTATTCATAGCACCAACAACCGAACATTCAAAACCAGCGAACAAGTTCACACCTTTCTTGCAGCCAATTTTGACTGTTGCTCGCTTTTGGCACCCGTGCACACCTGAGAACATCGCAACCCCACGTAAGAGACGTTAAAATATTTGAGGTGACTTCAGCTCCGATAAAAAAAAGAGAACTTGAAAGTACATTGAATAAGTTAAATGGTATTTAATACACTACATAATAGTAACTCCATGCGATATAAAATAGTAGACGAAACAGTGGTGTATACTTGTTAACCAGCATCGTATACAACAAACTGTTGATACTTAATCAGTGATTCAAACCCAATAATAAGGGACATCCTATCCAGGTAATGCGGCATAGTACCATCATGTAACACAAAAAAGTAGAAGATACGAACCTGCAGTTTTAATTCTTACACTTAGTAATTATGCATATAGAGAATACTAGTTTAAAAGGGGTTGAATTATAGCAATACCATTTTACCGGATGCAAAAATAAGAGCAGTTGTTTTAGGCTCCCTGATTCGCATGATAACAGCTGCAAAACGCTGTGAACAACAATACCCACCAACGCATTGGGTGAATAAGAAGCAAAAGCAACAGTATCAGCCTGAGAAACACAGTACAAGTTGTCTTCATGACAACCAGATGGAAGTTATTTCGCACATACACCACGCCTTTCAACAGCTTCAGATAGAAAACATCACTCAAGACTGGTACACATTCTTTCAACTGTGTATGCCTCGAAAAAGCTCTTCCTTTTCGTGAGCATACATACGAAGCTAATTACACATACGATGTATCAACGTGCGAATGGTAAGCACCAACACCGATAATCTTAAAATTATGGAAATTTGGCACACTGCCACAGATGACCCATACTTGAAAAAACCTAATCGGACTACGACAACCTATTCAACGTAGTACGATAACTGTTGAATGTTTCCCAGCTTCCTGCCTTGGTCTACGAGATATGAAATCCAACATCCTCACAAAACATCAAGCGAATATATATACACTAGGCAGTCATGTAAAAGCCCAAAAGCAATCCTCCACAAGAAGGAAACACGTACCTTGGGATTATATTCAGCATTTCGGGCGTGTAGAGCAATAGTCTTCAATTCCAAGCGGCAATCCATATTCACAGTCGAAACGATGTTCCTTCACCAACGAACCACGCGATATCTCAAAACCCACAGTAAAAAAATCACAAAATCACAAAGCAAACACTCACAAATTAGCAGACACACACACACACACCCTAGTCCCATCTCCCCAAAGAATATCCACACTCCCCACCCCCACCTCCCTCCACACAATTCCCACACTCTCACTTCCCTCCCACTACCCCGATCCACACCACCCCGAATCCTCTAAACCAGCCCCTCGACACATCTCACAAAACCCTACTCTCTCGACACATCCCCCCCCCCCCAACACAACACTTACTGCAGAGTAGGAACAATCCCGGAGGGGTGCTTGGCAAGGTCCACAGGCTGGCTGCCCTCCAACACCAGTTCAGCCATCCCCTCTCCTCCTGGGCTTTTTAGCAACAACTCCCCTCGCAACTTTTCTCCACTCGTAGGTGGGATTCAAAGTTGGTGTGCCTTGTTCAGCACGCCGCAGCAGCAGCAATACGAAGCTCTGGGGGTCAATCTATTCACAAAAAACACAGCACCACACGAGGGTGCAAATCGGGTGGTGTTGTGAGAATCCTGGCTCCCTCCTCGCTCCCTCGTGGCTTGCTTGCTGGCTAGCTTATATACGCGACCAGCCGCAGATGGAAGCACAGGCAGACTCCCTCAGACCCAAGACAAAGCAAGCGCAAGGGGGGTTATATACTTCCTTAACGCGTGCCTCCCCTGGGTCCTTATATACTCGTGGGCGACAAGGCTTGATTGTTTCTCTTTCTGCCCGGGCAGCAAGGGTGGGTGCGAACGGGCAGATCCACAGCCTTTTGCCCCTCTTGCCCGCCCCAACACCACCCTAATGCCACCAAGGAACGATTTCCGTTGAAATTGTGGATGAATGAAATCGTGGTGATGGGGAAATCTATCCGGAACACCACCAAAGGGTGTGGTATTTTATCATCCGTTTTCTCTTCTTAATTCATCCGTGGGGCCTATCATTGGGAACGCCTCGTGCCCCTCGTTTCCTCCTCCTTTCCTTCATTCCTGTCCTCAGAATCCCCCCCCCCCTCCACACACGATTCTGATTGAATAATAATTCAAATTGGGTTTGAATTTACTGTGTTTTGTGATTATGGATCACAAGGGTTGATGTGAATATTGGAGAATTTTTTAACTCGTTATTTTTATTTTTATTTTTATTCTAGTTGGTATGAATTGGACACGTGCAGATGTTATTTTTAATCAATTATGTGTAATTCATTTGGTGGTGTTGTGCGTGTATTAATGCGTGTTTTTGTCGTGAGCTTCTGCTGGTCTTCAATCTTGCCCTGAAATATCAGTTTCATTGTTTGAATAATTCTCATGCATTTCACAATGTTAACATCGGTGTTTGTTAAGACTCCCAAATATACCAAAAAAAAAAAAAAAAAAAAAAAAAAACAATGTCTCAGATTTCACAGAATTGGTTTTTATTTTTTAAAAAAAAGTGTAATGAGCGTGTGGAAACCAGTTTTGTTAACCCACTTGTATTGCTTAAATTCTGGTCTCTCTGTCGTGTGACCTAAGTGGGAAGAGAAGAGATTCCACCCTAAATGCCAACTGTCGGAGGGACTTCATTTTTCATGTTGAAAAAAGAGTGTCTGGGTTGGAGAACAGGATGCTGAATCGCAGTATCAATTGTTCTGCCGCGTCCACGTATTTCTCTGATGCAATCCATATGGTGTTAAAGTTGGTAATGGACACAGTCAAGTCAACATGAGATGAGTGCTACATATGCAGAATGAGAAAAACGCGAGCTGGGCCTGGGTGAAGCATCCTGCTTCTCCCTGCGCAATCACTCCAAGCGAGGTGAAAGCACTGTATGGTACTCCGGCTCTTCGACTCCCGAAAGGATTGGCAGCTGCCACCATTGCTGCTTGTACTGTTGTAGAAGTTGTAGTGATCCTTGGGCAGTCTGCACGAGTTTCACTCCAAATCCTGTTTTTACATGAGTATTACCCAGACGAAGTTGGACTTAGGAAGCGAACTTCAGGGCTGCCGAAGGCCAGAAAGATTTTGTCTAACCTGGGAGTTATTCTACTGATCCAAACAGCGAGAGATTGACGAAGCATGAAACTGCTAGCTGCCAGTTATTATACCTTCTAGGTTCTAGCCATGTAATGCGCTTACAATCGGTGAACGTGCAGCAGATGGCGGCGCAGGGGAGACACTGAAACCGAGATGTGACGTCTGTAGGACATGATCCTACTCGGACGCAATCAGCACTTGAAAATCAACACCTCCCTTGGTGATTTAGCTTGCAGTACGGTGCCGTGTGTCCAGCAATCCTATCCGAATCAACCCACGCTTTCGACTCCCAGGATATAACGAAGGTCCAAGGACATTCCAAGGTCGTTTAGAATTCGATATGATTTCGGTGTCGATGTAAAGTAGCATTTCTTCGTAATTAAATAGTATCTTAAGATATGGGTTGCACCATACATTAATTCCTTTATGCTGTCATTTCCAGACATGGTTAATACACACGGTTGGTTCAATCATAAATTCCCAAAAAATCTGCACTCGTAAGAATTGCGGTGACTTTTATCCAGCTTAGACTGTCGATGCGTCGGTTTCATCTAAAACACTTCAACGAAGAGGAACATAACCATCGAACTTTGCAGGGACAATATATTACAGACTGGTGAAGTTCCAATGCTCCAGATACTATCGACTAATATACATGGGATCAACAGCGACATTACACAGTCGATACCGCTGAACCGCGCTGTCGCAAATTGTCAAGAACGTTCTTTCGTAAAGAATCAAAAGCGGGCATTCGTAGGAATTCTCGTCATGCCTGAAAAACTGTGTTTGCGCCGATAATACACCAGAGGCGAGCACAATGCAAATGACGCAAGGGCGATAGCCTGCAACACAACAAGGCAAAAATTCGACCTGAGATGATATTCAAGCTAACAGTGGAAGGAAACATAAGAAGAACGCCTTAATGTCTGCGTCAAATACTTTGGCAGAAATAACGCGGTACCCAAGTTTGAACAATAGAGGACCATGGAGAAAAAACGATTCCTAGGCCTAATTATATTTTTTCAAATCTGACGAGGTTGTACATGCTCTACATTCATTTCAGCACATTAATAAATGCGGAGGTTACGGGAAAGTTTGTGCACCTCAAACTGCAGCACTGAAAACTTGTCGTTTCTTAGATCAGCAGGTGTGCAGGATTTATAAGTGGGATATGTTTTTAAACCCCCTTCTAGTTTGAAGGATGGTGTCTCTACTGCACTATGACCTTCCGTGGATGGCAACTTTCTGTCGTGTGATCCAGTCACCTCGTTACCGTCGGTGTCAGTATGAGCTGTCTGCTTACCTGAATGTCGTACAACACCAGAAATGCAAAATACAATTAGCAAAAATCATAGGCATTTGGACCTAATACTACCTTGCTTGGTCTTTCGGTCGCAAGCCATACAATAAATAGGAGGCAAATGAGCGAGTAGCAAATTCTTGTGACAATTGAAAAACCATCTGAAAGTTTGAACTTCCTAGCTGATTGACAATGTAGAGAAAACCTAAAAACAGAGCTCAAGGTTAGACCACTCACCACTGAGACCTTCCATATCGTGCTTATTCTGCTCCACTTTTTGAGCGCTCTTCATCTCCCGACACTTAAATGATTGATGATAACCAGTTGATCGACAATGAAATTTATTGGCTTCCTGCAAAACGGACCAAAAAAATGAAGCAGAATCGTTTATAAGTTGTGCATTCCGATGTTATATATATATAAAACATCGGAATATGCAAATATTCAAAATATAAAGCGCAATCACCAACAATTGACGCAGAATGTTACAATGAAGAGCAATCGTCAATTACGATTAATTTTATCCAAAATTCAGCATTTCATAAATGAGAGTGTGGACGCTATTCCAATATGTGACTAATGATGAGATTTTTCAAAACACGAGAAACTAAAGGTGGGGATAAAAATAAAAATTTAACCTTATCAGGGCGAGAGCAAGAAACACAAGGACCGGACGACTTGCATAAGAAGGAACTGTTGCCTTGCTGCTCCATAAATTCTCTATTGTCACTCCTGCAATCCAGTGAATTATAAGTCCAGGCACACTAACCATAATAAAGCGATTTACTAATATATCTACCATCAGAGAACTCTGGCACAATTTCCCATAAAAAGAATGCAAAGGAAGGGTGGTTAACAATTCAGCTTAGCTTAACTTTGTGAATCACCACCAACGAGAAAATTTCTACAAATTTCTGCCACGAATTGATTCCATCAAAATTTCAAACGGTGGATCTGACGACTGGAAATGCAGATATTAGCCTATCGTAAATAGATCATCCTCAAATGTCCATCTCTACATAGCTCAGCTCGGAATTCGTTTACAGTTTCATTACCGCAGACCTAAAATCTCTCTCGATGGAACCACGGATCTTCGTATAAACACGCAACGGCAACGACAATAAAACTGAAAACAAATAATATTCAACTCAAATGAGATACATCAAATCGATCAGAGCAAACGTGATAAATACCAGGCCGAGCATAATAGCGGGCTGAACACCAAGAACGCCACCATTAACCCGACTACAAATTTCGCCACACCATATCGCTGTGCCATCCCGAACGTCCTGCTTTTTCCCGACTCCGCTTCTAGTAATCAAAAAATAAAAATATAAAATAAAAATAACTACTGAAATAGCTCACCATGAAGCATTCCTGCGACAATAAAACATGAAATCGGGACACAGTCTGACGAAAACTACAATCTCAGCACTGATCCAAAGCAAACAAACACTCAATCTCGCAAACACTTCAGGGAAGAATTAGTTCGAACGATAACTTGCGGTCCTTCGTCTCGCTGGAAACGAGCTCACTCCTCTAGGGTTTCATCCGTGGATGATCATATTTCCTCGTCGACCGATGATTCCATTCATTCTCATGGATGTATTTGTGGAATGTCGTCTGGAGCACTGATGTACAAAGAATTGAACCAACCATAAATCATGTTTATTTGATTAATGGGCTAATCTATATATATATATATATATATATATATATAATACTGAGAGTATGATAAATCAGCATACCAATATTTTATTAGTCATAATTTTTTATGAAAAAATAGTAAAAACATAATTTACATAAATTAATTAGTTAATTAATTCAACACCATTACAAATTGTGATAGTGTTATAATATAATTCTAAATAGTTTATAGTTTGAAATTATTATTATTATTTTAAAAACTTATTAATGAATAGATTTTTTCTTTCATTTTCATTTTCTATGGCTATAGAAGACAATTATGTTTGGTATTATTATTATTATTTATATTTGTATACAGATTTTTTTTTTTTTTTAATATATCACTTTCTTTTCCACATATTCTTTTATCTCTCTAAATTTTATTTCTTAAATTTACAATAGTATCACACTCATGCATTTATTCATTTTTAATTATTTATAAGTAGGATTATGAGAACTGAGTGATTACATTAAGTGCAATTAAAAAAATTAGACAAGGAATAACCTAAATCAGTAAGATAATTACCTTTGAAGTGATGTGAGTGTGAGTCCCACTAATGGATCTTAATTGGTGGATTGGTTAAAAATATAGTATTGAATCATTTAATGAGATAAATACTAAGATTAGAGAGTCTTTTTGACTATTTATATATTTATTAGAATTTAGAAGTATTTATAAGTATAAAAGTCTTATTAGAAGTAAAGTTACAAAAATGGAGTCTTAGTAAGTCTTGGAAGAAATTATTTTAGTTGGTTTAGTATTTCCACTTATTATTGAGTATTAATGATTAGTAATTGAGACCAATTTCTATATTGGCCTCATATCTACATGTATTACTTACAAAAATTCTATCAATAATTAGTTCATAGTTAAAAGAAGTATGAAAAAGAACTTCATGTCTTTTAAGTTATGTTTGTAAAAAATAGGATTTTTAGTAGATTTAAATTGATTTTATTACTATAAAAAATCACCAAGATAGAAAAATATAGCCTTATATGGATATTAGTATTATAAAAATATTGTAGGATATTTTGGAATTTATTTAAAACTTATTTAGGATTTTTTATGAATTTTTAGAGAAAATTTTAAGACCTTGGTAAAATTGAGTTTTACCACCTTGAGAGCCACTATGAAGAAATGAAGCAAGATTTGAAGACTACACAAGGTTTTTGGGCTGATTGGATGTATTTGAATACCATAGTGAAGTCAAAAATGCAAAAAAAGTAGTTTTACTAGTAGAAAATAGGAAGACTATTAGAAAGTGTAGTCCTTGTAAGAAGAAAGGTGCACAATTTCTATATGGATTGTTATCAAGGACAAGAACTTGATAAAAAAATAAATAAACAAATGAGACTTTTCTCAAAGAAAGATGAAAAAATAGAAATAATTAAATATGTATATTAAGAAAGAAACTAGAATGGCTATTGCCAAAAGACAAGAAAACTAGAAATCCTTGAAACTAGACAAGAAGCAAGAAAGGAGTCGACAAGAGTGAAGAAGGCTTCAATCTTGCCTCTATATATACTATCCACTTAAGAGCTACATGGCAACATTCTATAGGACCTCCAAAAATGTGTTGACTTTGTATAACACGTATCTTAACTTATAAGGTAAGTTTTTGATATAGGCGCCACATAGCTAACTTATTCTGCAAGCTACTAACATGTGTGGCACGTGGTTAACTTGTTGACCAGGTTTCTAACCTATCAATTAAGTATAAACACATGTAAAATTAAAACAGCGTCTATGAAGCTTCTAGGATGCTTTTCTAGAAGATATTATGAAATTAATCTACTTTTACCTAATTCTATCTATTCATATCATCTAGGTAATAATTATAGTAAATATATGTCTGTGATATTACTCCCTCTTCTAAAAATGAGTTCTATGAAGAGCAATGATCACATGTCAAAGAAGTTTAAGATGCGGCAAATCGTATTTGTTACATACTCTGATCTTTGTTTTCTTTGGAGATGATTGATAGGGCCCTTGAACCATCAATAGTGTCCCATTCCAAGGTAGAAAGACCACCCAATTATTTGATCATTGTTGAGGCCTTCATAACTTCCTTCAAATAAAATATTTGGAATATCGTCAAGAGTTGTTCCTACCTCTAATAAAATCACCAAACATCGAGAGTCCCTTCCAAGGTCGTGATAACAAACGTGCTATATCTTGCTATCTACTTGAGGAAAAACATGTCGCTCTTGAGGATCTTCATCTTGATTGCATTGTCTTAAAAGTTGTGACAGTTGTAATATCTCATCTGACAGGTCAACAAATAAAGGCTCTTGAGTCAAATCTGCTCGTTGTTGATTTTTCATTTTCTTAGCATCACAACTTCAAAAAAACTAAAAATATGGATTAAAATTAGAATAGATCTTCTTTCTTGTATAAGAAAGGTTTTCATCTTAATTTTGATGGATGTTGTCGATGAAAAGCTTCCACCGCCTCATCTACATTTGCAAGATTCTTTATTGGCTTCCATGTGCATTCACTAATATCATATCCACACTAATGAACAAGTTATTCTAATTTATTTCAGCATCGCCTTGAATCTAGGACTTCTTCCACTTTGAATTCTTTATTATTGTCCACTTCTATAGAAGAAGGTGGAGCTTGTCTTCTTATTGGTATGTTCACTGTCTTGTATGGTTCAAAAAGAGACATGTGAAATATTTGATGGATTTTCATTAACTCCAATAGGTGTAAACGATATGCAACAGGATTGATTTGTGTAGAAATAGAAAATGGTCTAAGCCTTCAATAATCAAAATTATTAAAAGGACAAATAGTCTTGATATTGTGACAAAGTAACTATACCTTGTCACCCATGTAAAATGGTGGTTGTTCCTTTTGGTAGACATCTGCATTGATCTTTTGTTGTTCTGGAGCTTCTTTTAATTGCGGCTTCATTGTTCCATGTAGCTCTGACAAATGATTTGTCAAATCTTTTGTCATAGGATTATCAACTTTTGAAAAGTCAAAAGTATCAAGTTATGGATGATAACCATAATTTGTAAAGAAAGGTGTTTGTTTTATAGAAGAATATAGCATAATATTATAAGCAAACTTTGCCAATGGCAAAAGAGTTGTCCAATCATCTTGTTGGTAGTTGACGATACATCTTAAATACTACTCCAAAACTTGATTAACATGCTCCGTTTATCCATCAGTTTGAGGATGGAATGTTGAAGATAGTTTTATATCCACTTTTAAAATCTTGATACAAACTAAGTTTTCCTATCTGATATAATATCCTTAGATAATCTATGATTGCGATAGATATTGTCAAGAAAGACTTTAGCTATTTTTTCACCTCTAATAAATTTTATACATGGTACACAATATGCCATCTTGGTAAAACGATCTATTATCACGAATATAGAATTATAAGAACCTGAGATTGGAAGATCCGTGATGAAATCTATAGAAACAAAAGACCATGGTTGTTCAGGAATGCATAATGGCTGAAAAAGTTCATAAAGTCAATGACAAGGAGTTTTTTTTTATCTTGAGCAAACATCATAAGATTGTACAAAATCTTTGACTTCCTTCGATATTTGGAGCCATCAAAAATCCTTAGATATTAGTTTTAAAGTTTTATTGTATCTAAAATGTCTTGTTGCTAGAAAGTCATGATGAGCTTGAAGAACACGTAATCAAACATATAAGCGTCCTTCAAAATATAATAGATTATTCTTGAATTCAAACTTAGAAGTATCATGAGACTTTCAAGGGTTTTCCTTAATATTATGAATAAGAGGATCAGAAGACAAACTTGACTAAACTTGCTTAATGAAAGTTGAATCAATAGCTAGTGTTGATTTCATTGCTTAAAGATAAAGATGCTCTAGCTTTGAGAGAATTATACATTGCTAATCAAAAGCAACATCTCTTTTCTTTGGTGCAAGGTAAGATTATCTAGAAAGTGCATCTAACAAACCTTATTGTTTTTCTAATCGATAAGTGATCTTCAATTCAAATCTTGATAAAGATATACTCAAACAAATTTGGCAATGATTCAAAACACGTGTTGACATAAAATATTCAAGATTCTTGTGATCCATATATACAATGACTGGATTAAGAGCACATTTTAGATAATGGTATCATTCTTGAAATGAATCCATCATTGCAAGAAGTTCTTTGTTATGGATCTCGTAGATGATCTCGATTGCTGAAAATTTTCTGGAATAAAAAGCTACTATGTGAAGTTTATTATCTGTTTCTATTTGTGATAATATAGCATCCAAAACAAAGTCTGATGTGTCTATTTCCATAAAAAATGGATTAGAGAAATCGATGTGATATAAGATTAGTGTAGAAACAAAAGAAGTCTTGAAAGTTTCAAATGCTACTTCCGCTTCTTGATTCCATTGAAGTTTATTTTTACAAGTCAAACAGATAAGTGGAGCTGCAACTTGAGAGAAGTCTTTAATGAAGTTCCAATAGTAGTTGGTAAATTTTAAAAAGCATTGAACATCTCTTATTGTTTTTGAAATCTTCTAATCTATAATAGCTTGAACTTTCTTAAGATCCATCATAAGTCCATCATTTGAAATGATGTATCCTAAGAAGTCAATTAGAGTAGTGAAAAATACACACTTTTTTATCTTGGCATAGAGTCCCGCATCTCTTAATATTTGTAACACACGATGAACATGAAGTTCATATTTTTTTGTATTCTTAGAATAGATTAAGATGTCATCTAGGTAACAAACAACAAAATCATCTAAAAACTTCTAAAAGACATCATTCATTAGATGTTGAAATACTACTAGTACATTTGTAAGTCCAAAAGGCATGACATTGTAT